TCTGCCCCATCATGGTGACCCAGACAAGCTGGATGTGCCTGAGCCTGACAACAGAGTTCATGTAGTGGGTCCCACTGGGCATGACTCATCTGATGCACATGGGCAGCATGTGGAGTACACAGAATTCAATAATCAGCCCAATCAACCCAACAGAGGCTACCAGCCTCAACATCGTCAACCAGTCCCTCAACCTAACCAACCCCGACCCCAGCCTTATGTGCCTCAAGTTGGGGAGACCCTAGTCTACATCCCCAAGGTGGGACCCGATGGGGGTCGTGTGCCTCAAATTATTCAGGTTAGTGAGAGGCCTGGCAACGGCCATCCTTTTGGTTTTCCAGAAGACAAGACTGGAAGACCGCAAAAGGCCCAAACCCAAACCACCATCTCATGGCAGCCCTACCAGCAGAGTTCTGGTTACCTGGTGTCCTGTCAGCCCATTACCCATCCAGATGAGAAGATGTTTCAGGTGAGGACCTAGGAAAGATTAACAGAAAATTTTAGATGAACGAAAAAGAAAAATGACCCAAAACTTCCGTTATCACCTTAAGCTTATTTTCAGATTCACCCTTTCTATTTTTGCAGATGCATGTCCCAGGATCATCCACAAGTGCAACCCTGATTGGTCTCACCTCTGGTGCCTCTTATAATGTCATTGTGGAGGCCTTGAAGGGAGCCCTCAAACACAAAATTTTGGAGGAAATGATCACCGCTGGAAACACAGGTCAAGGATCAATGAACTTTGATGAAAGCTCAAAAATGCAAATGCTAATGATGCTTGTCTTAATGTTTCTTTATTTTGTTCCTGTTAAAATCAACAGTTCCAGGAGATGTTTCATCTAGCAAGGACTCATGTTATGACACCTTCACAGCAACTTACCATGATGTCGGACAGGAATGGGAGCGTATGTCTGACACTGGCTTCAAACTCTGGTGCAAATGTCTTGGCTTGGGAAGTGGACATTTCAGATGTGACTCTTCCAGTGAGTAACTTCACACCTGGAGATCAAATGGTGGATTTATCCTGTAGATATTCCTCTTCATGTACAGTGGGTATATAAAAGAATGACCCCCCTTTAAAATAATCACATTTTGTTGCTTTGCAGCCTGAAATGACGACGGATACACTTTTTGTTTTATCCAGCTGTATTTACTCAGTGCAACTTATAACATCCAAGTGAAATATATAACTCCAACATGTCAGGAAAAAAAAGAAACAGAATCACTGAGTTGGAAAAAGGATCCCCCCCTTGTGTCAGTATTTTATTGAACCACCTTTTGCTTTAATTACAACCTTTAGTCTGTTGCGATGTGTCTCTACTAACTTTGCACATCTAGACTTTGCAATATTTGCCCACTCTTCTTTGCAGAATTGCTCAAGTTCAGTTAACCCTTAAATGCATACCTCTGGTCTTTAGCGACCCGGGATATCATTCTCTACTCTCTCCCTCCTTATACATCAACTTTCTTAGTATTCCTCAATCTATTAATTATAAACAATATAACAAGAAAAAAAATTTGAAAATATAAAAGAATGCCAGTTTTCTGATCAATTTTTTGTAAAAAGTGCGTAGGGTCACTAGAGACCCTAGGTATGTAAATGTGAAATGTTTGAAAATTAGATTTAGATGCCTGTATGAAGTCATTGAAAACGATAGTTTTGAGAATATGGCTAAGATCATGAATATGAGGCAGATGCTGAATGTACTGTATAAGTGCGCTCTGACGATGACAGCGATGGTAAAATCATCTGCTCAAATTGAACCCTTTTAAGTTTCAAAAGGTAACGAAATATGCTTTATTTTATTCTTTTGTAATTGTTCTTAAAATATCAAGAGAGTTTTTTGCTATTACAGCAGTTAGAGATCCATCCGTGCTGTATATATAGGTCCGGGTCGCTAAAGACCCGAATATGTAATAATGATTGGTGAAACATTCATGCATTTAAGGGTTAAATTTGATGGTGACCGTTTGTGGACTGCAGTCTTCCACAAATTTTCAATGGGGTTTAAGTCTGGGCTCCGACTAGGTCATGCAAGGACATTCTCCTTTAACCACTGTGTGGTCAGTTTTGCTGTGTGCTTTGGGTCATTGTCATGTTGGAAGATAAACCTTCTTCCCATTGACAAATTTCTGGCAGAGGGCAGCAGATTATCCTCAAGAATTTGACGGTGTTTTGCCCCATCCATTATTTTGCTCCATCCCATAACATATATAACATATCCCATATACATATAGGATATTACCACCTCCATGCTTTATCTTTCTTGAGGAGTGTTTTTTTTTCTTGCAACCCTCCCATGCAAGCCACATTTGTGGTGAATTTGTGATATTGTTGTCACATATGCACACAATGACCACTCTTTGTCATAAATTCCTGCAACTGCTTATTGCTGTAGGCCTCTTGGTAACCTCTCTGAACAGTTTCCTCAAGTTTGGAGCGACGTCCTGATCCAGGGAGGTTCTGTGTTGTACCAAATACCTTCCACTTCTTAATAATAGACTTCACTGTGCTTCTAGGCATTGATAAAGCCTTTGACATTTTTTTTTTGTATACATCTCCTGACTTGTGCCTGTCCACAACTTTACCTCAGAGTTCTTTTGACAATACCTTGCCACCCATATTTGATTGTTTGCTTCAGTTGCACTACCAAGGACTGAAATGCTCCAGGAAAGCTCTTTGCATGCTTCTAATAAAAATGACCACAGCTGATCACAGTTGAAAGTCAAATGGCTTTGTGTGCCATTGAGAAGGTGATTAGCTACACCTAACCCTACCTTTACAAGTAGTTTTTATTAGGGGGTGATCCTTTTTCCAACTCTGAGAATGAATGTTTTTTTTATTTTTGTTCTGACGTTGGTGTTATATCTTTAACTTGAATTATAAGTTGCACTGAGTAAATACAGTTGGTTAAAACAAAAACGGTGTCCGTCTTCATTACAGACTGAAAAGCAGCAAAATGTGATTATTTTAAAGTTGGGTGATTTTTTTCTATACCCACCCGGTCAGAAATCGCCCCCTATACCCTTAAATAGGGCACTATTTCAGAGGACAGCCATTTTTAGTGGTATCTGAAACCTTACATTATTGGACATTATAGAGTTCACTTATTCAATCCCACAGCAATAACAAGTGTTCAACTGATGTATGCTCAACGGCTAGAGAATACCCATAATGCACTGTGAGAGTCATGCAGCGAATTAATTGCCACATCTCGCCAGAAGATGGCAACCACAGCTGAATCATCCATCCATTCATTTTACAAAGCGCTCGTCCACGGCGTACAGCATAATACAACACTGGTAAAAAATTCATTGTAAATTGATTATTAAATTGTTTAATTATGTTTTATACATAGTTTCCATGACAGAGTTCAAGATAAATACTTTCATCTTACTACTGGAGCTGCCAATTTGCCAGTTTCAAATGATTATTAAACAGTAAACACAAACTATGCAAAAGCGGCAGTCCTTCTGGTGCACTTAGTGTCCGAATTCACTCGTTTTCATTGACTCCATCAAGTGAACTGTATTAGTTGCCTAATGTAGGAAATAGTGAATGAGGGTATGGGGTGATTTCGGATTCAGCCCCACTACCTACCTGCCAATTTAAGTTCCCTGCACCAACACAGCTGTCTGTAATTATCAAGTGCTACTGAAGAGATTAATCAGCTTGTTTAAGTGTAGATTGAATCAGGGTTGGAGCTGAACTTTGAAGGATGGTAGATCTCCAGGAACAAGACTGGGCACCATAAAGATGATCCTGTATTCTGTATGAGTGTTTCCACTCGAAATACCATTTTTTACGCAGAATGGTGTCACGACAATGGAAATAACTACCGCATTGGTGAAAAGTGGGAGCGACGGGCAGAAAACGGTCACTTGATGAGCTGCGCTTGCCTGGGCAATGGCAAAGGAGAGTTCAAGTGTGAACCACGTAAGTGCTTCCTCTCAACAGACACTATGTAGTCAAGTTTCTTACAATCAGTGGAATTAAAATTCTTGCATTTCGTTATAGATGAGTCCATATGTTACGATGACGGAAAGATGTACCAGGTCGGAAACAAGTGGCAGAAAGAATACTTGGGCGCCATCTGCACATGCACATGCTATGGAGGACAGCAGGTAAGAACAGAACTTACAAATTATAGAACAAAAAATTCAAAACGGTAAGATAAGGTATTTTTTTAAAAACACTTGAACTAAAATTAGATTCAAAGAGGGTGTTTCAAATTCATATGCTTGGGTACAGTTGGAATGCGTTGTGTATGTGCTGCTCCTCAGGGTTGGCGCTGTGAGAATTGCAGAAGGCCTGGTGCCGAGATAAGCTCTGACCTGCTGAAGCCCGTCCGCTTAAACATCGGCCACAGGGTGGTGAGTATATCTGTTATATTTTTGGCAGATGTGCATTGACAAATGCATTGAAACGTTTCACATATATTTGAATGTATGCAGATAAATATTTCTGGTTTCCTTTGTATGACATATTCCCCTTTGTTCTTCCAGAACATTCAATGCCCCATCGAATGTCTCCGACCTGAGCTTCTTGCAGATGCTGTGACCAATGCCAAAACCCAAGAGTAAAACCATTTCTGACCGAACTGCACCATGACCTTCTGCCTCCTTTATGCAACATTTTACTTGGGACATGTAATAAAGATGTGATGTTATATGAGAATGTACTATTCACATATTGCCTTAAAACCTCCCTGTTTGTTACTGCCATCCAGCTGCTGCTTTACAGCTGCTGTTGTGATGCCATAGCAACAGCTGGATTCATTTACAGCCTTTGATTGGCTATTGTTTGGTTGAGGAATTTGATTAGATTTAACTTTTTTGTTTGCTAGTGTGCTATATAAATCAATTAAAAAAACGTATTGCAATATTAAATGAAGATAATTCCCAATGCAGTTAAAACCGTTTGTCTATTTGTTGATACCAAAACTATAACAGGAAAGTTCACTTTCTCTGTTAAAATGTGAAGAGATTTTTTTTTTTTTTTTATATGCAGCTTTCTAATTGAATTAAATTTAGAAAAACTACCTTACCATTATTGTCAGAGGATTTCATAAATCTTTATAAGTCTTTATAAATTGATATTGGGCAAATATGAGAAAGTAGTAAACATAAGCACTGTTTTATAAGAATGTTAGAGCACCACTGGGGGTACACTGAAGTACCAAAAACCAAGTGTTAATTTGTCTTTTATACAAAAATCCTTTTTTTTTTTTTACATGGCTCATTGATTATTTAGACTAGAGTCAGCACTGTTTTTAGATTGATACTAATTTTAATTTTCTAAATTCTTTGACTATTTATCCCCTTCATTCAGAAGTGTTTGGATTGTATAGAATGTTGTTTGTCTCATTTATCGGTCATTGTTCTACTGTCTACACCAGTTTTCACTACTGTTAAATCCATTTTTGATACATTGCAGGACTCATGACAAATTGTATTTATAAAATTTTACTAAAAGCAATTTTTTTGGAACTAGGTTCTAAAGTAAACAAACCTTGCAAAAAACAAGACGTCAATAAATGCAAATAAACCCTTGAAGGAATCTATGAAAAACTATCATACTTGATTTGTGTTTTTATTTTGTAATTCTCATGGACACTAAAGGCAGCACAATGGAATGCATCAGGAAGTGTATGGAGGCAATTTCACACTGAAAATGTTTCGAGCAGCAGATACCAACAAGGACGGCACGGCACAAATTAATCAAAGAAAAGATATTAAATGAACAGAAGTGGATCATCTTATTCGGAGATTATCAGTATTATAGAAGCTATGTATGAAGAATGTTCCTAACTATTTAGCGATAATGTCACTTTGCTGTTGGCTTTAGGATTTGAGTAATAAATGAGTTCATGTAAAAATGGACAGGCTAGCTATAACGCAAAGTTATGCAACATGGGTAGTAACTCAGATTTACAGTAAAAGATGTACATCTAAAAAGAAAGGAATCCTAAACTTTTTTAACAATGAAACTAGCTAGATATTTGTATTCAAATGGATGTTTTGTAGTGCTTTTCAGTGATGGAAGAGACGGATTTTGGTGTGCACCAGGGTGATTCCCAGCTCATTGCAGGCGTTGATGACCACCTCATCCGCGGTAGAGCCAGAGGGGGCAGCAATATACTCCACACCGCTCTAAAACCATACAAAGAGAAAATGCCTTCATCACAGTCACTCCTACGTCATTCATATACATACTTGATGTGTATTTTTAAGATGGTATAATATAGCAACAAGCAACTTGTTACATTGCAAGATGTATACAAGGGTGCATAAAACAGCACGGATAATGACTCAAGCTTAGTAACACTAGGAGAGGGTGTTTACCCGTTTGGCGCGGTCAACATTGTCCCGGAAGGGGAAGAAAGCATCAGAACTGAGGGCCACAGCCTGCAGAGAACTGATCCAGTTCTTCTTCTCAACCTCTGACAGAGTCTCAGGAACTTCTTCAAACAGACCCTTCCAAACCTCTTTATCTGGGCCCTGATGTACAAACAAATATTCAATATCATCAGGAAAAACTCCACCTCCCAGCAATCTACAAAAACATTATGATACATAAAAATACTTCTCAGATTTTATTGATTGTAAGATTTGACTGACAAGGTTTATAATAAATATTCTCAAAGTAATTAGGCTGGCCAATATATCCCTCTATGACTAGTACAAATAACCAACTTTTGGATACAATACCTCTCCAATTGTTCCACTGACATACTGATCAATGGCATTAGCCATCTCTGAACGTTTAATTCCACTGTGGAATTTCATGTTGAGCACTCGTGGATGGTGCCTGAGCCACCAGTTATCGGCCTTATCTCCTGCCAGCCGAGTGCAGTGGATACGAGACTGCTGGCCAGCGCCGATGCCAATCACCTAACAAGCACACACACAAACGTATGAAGTTATGTTTAATTAATTTTCAAAAATGTATATATTTTGACAATAAAAATATAATTTTAAAAACCTTTTTGCTTTTAAAGTTTTGGTTACCTGACCATCTTTTGCATAACACACAGAGTTGGACTGAGTGTACTTCACTGCGATACTGGCTACAATGAGATCTCGCAGGGCACTCTCAGAAAGCTTTAATAAAACCACAAAAAAAATACAATCTGTATTAAAAATGAATTTCTTTATATATTAACAATAATATAATTGCCCTTTTCCCACAGTCCAATCAAATTGCAATGGATAAAATAATGTTAACCACAGAATATTGTTTCACACCCCCCCACAAAAAAAAAAAAATTGC